GGCCCGAACCCATTCGTTGTTTACTCGAAGTGGTGTGTGTTTGGTTCTCTCGTACAATCATCATCTGACTTGAGTGCGTTATCGGATTTAGGGACACTCTTGATTCACGGGAATCCACACCAATGGCCAGCTACCTTTCAGAAGTACCTCCTGACGTCATTTTCTCGATCTTCATCCACTGCGATATCGCGGCTGTGGTTTCCGCGGGTCAGGTATAACATTTCCTCATTGCGCATCCTTTCGACTGAAGTACCGTAGACCTGTCGATATCTGCACAATCTTGCGCTCCACAAAAGTGTCTGGCTCGCTCTTGTGGAAGATCTTAGGCGACGATTCCTCCTCCCAGAGATACTAATCCCAAACCTGGATGAGGCTTCCACCACGGATCTTATCGATCTGGTCAAGCGCATGTTAACGGGCCCCGAGACATGGAGTCCAACTAGCTCAGGCTTCACACCCGAGGTCTCCAAGCGGATCCCCCTCCATCCTACTATCCGTCATAAAACTGGATCTTTGAGCCAGGAAAACGAGGCCCAGTTATCTCCAAGTGGTCGTTTTGTGCTTTTTAAAAACTGGAGGACGCTCGAATGCTGGGACGTTGCGGCAGATGTGCTCATTTGGACACATGTGCCGGGCTTTGACCGGGCTGAGCTCCGTGAATTTGCAATGGACGAGATTATCGACAGAGACACTCTCATCATCATGATATGTGAAACAGCTTATTACTCCCACCGTAACCTAAAAAAGTTAGTTTGGTCCAGATACTTATATGTGGGCGGGGCGGTACTCATGTTTTGCAGTTACATTGAGATCCTCGAGTTGAATCCTCGGAGCGGCACACAAGCCAATTTGTTACAAGTTCGCTGCCCCGACACCTCTTACGATAATCAGTTTCAGGTTCCTGAAATCCGAGGATTTGTGGCCGTAGTGGCCCTTTCGGCATCTGGCCATATGTATTTGGTACTGGATTGGAAATCTCAGATCGCTTTCGCTGTCGAGGCTTCCCAAGTGAGCGCCCAATGTTTTCTTCTGGTGGGATCTAACACCGCCCACAGACTCATGACATGCGGGCTTATTACATGCTTATGGAAATTATTCCGGGGCATCTCATCCTCAAGACACGAGATGACCTGTACCTTATCAGCGTTCAAGCTGCACTCCTCAGTCACGGCGCTCCTGTAGATTTAAATGCAGGAGCACCATTCAACCCTGTCACAGTGAACCAATTACCGAAAATCCTGGCCCAAAGTATTAATTCGAGCGCCGAAGGGTCCTCTAGAAGCAACCATGTGCATCAACTATCTGTTCACCCCAGCCCACTACATAGGGACAGATACCGCGTTTGGGTCTTCCATTCTCGCAGCGATGTCGATGCCGTCCTCCGCAGCTACGATCTGGTTCTTCTCCCAGGCACCACGCCGTCGTGGAGTGAGCGAACTCGCGTGCCTGCGCGGTTTGGGCTTTATCATCAAAGAATTGCCTACTCTGGACACACAGAATTTTTTGAACGGATTGGAGATCGTGCCGTGCACCAAATTATGCCCCCCAGCATAACGTCCGCGCGCGGTGAAATCGATCTTGGGAGACCCCGAAGTCGCATTCATGTGTCGGCGTATTCTGGCGGATTGACGTTCACTAGTCCTTCGGAGGTCGTTGTGTTGTATTTTAGATAGAGCACAAGTTGCGGTGTTGAGTAAAAAATGTTGACTCTATGGACGTTTTTGGTCGGGCGTTTCAGGCGTCCTACAACTCATAACCGGCGACGCGGAGTAATCTGAATTAAACCGGGGAAGAGTACAAATTGTTTTACCCCTCTTAAGTGTACGTACACATTTCTTTCTCGATTCAGTGGCTAGCGGATATGGCTGCTTAAAGCGAAGGGTTAATTTATTTGACCCGAGCCCGGGATTGCATACCGAGAGTGATCCGCTCACCTCGAAACTTTGCCACGACCGGCACACGCTTCACCTCACTTTTCAACATGGGGAATGAGGAAGTCGAACTGTCTCTTAGGTCGGGAATTGAACTCAGGCACTAATTGTTTCCCACTCAGAGTGAGTAACTCGAGCGTGTTGCACGTTGCACGCCTGCTCAAATTACAGCCAAGGACGGAACCGAAGGCGCGGTCGAAAATTTCTTGTTTTGGGATGTTTTCAAAGAATTGTTAATAGCTCAGCCAGTTCTTCACCGATTTGGATGAAACCTAGGTAGTTCTGTCGGGCTAATTCATGCGCAATTGGTGGTAGAAAACGATTCAGGAAAATATTATATATTAGGTAATCTGTGCTTTTGGACCATTTTCGTACCAAATACCATCTTGCATGTCCAGGACATGTCCCAATGACCTGATATTTTGGGATGGACAACATATATACCTAAAGGAACATGTGATAGAGCTGGAATTGCGGATATGTTAGGTACAGTCCTTGTAGCTCCATTGGATACATTTGGCACTTTTGGCATTCAGAAATATTGCAAGTATCGCATTTATATCGAGATTTTATACAATTATGGCTCTATCACATGTTCTTTTAGGTATATATGTTGTCCATCCCAAAATATCAGGTCATTGGGACATGTCCTGGACATGCAAGATGGTATTTGGTACGAAAATGGTCCAAAAGCACAGATTACCTAATATATAATATTTTCCTGAATCGTTTTCTGCCACCAATTGCGCATGAATTGGCCCGATAGAACTACCTAGGTTTCATCCAAATCGGTGAAGAACTGGCTGAGCTATTAACAATTCCTTGAAAACATCCCAAAACAAGAAATTTTCGACCGCGCCTTCGGTTCTGTCCTTGGCTGTAAAGCTTTTGGCCATACGTTCGGCAGGAACTCCGGGAAGTTCGACTCCCGGCGCTCGAATTCGGTCGTTTGTAAGATCTTTCCTTTTTCTCAGCTTGTGGGTTATCAAGCACTGGCAGGTCTAAGCTCTTTCTTCGAGCGAAATCCTCATCGGGCTTGTTCGTGGACTCGGCGGTTGTAATTTCTCACGGTTGGCCTGGGCAAGCTCAACTGACCAGGTCAGTCGAATTCCGGAGCAGGCTATTTTTTCGCTCACCTGACCAGGCCAATACCACAGTGGAGAAAGTCGAACGTGGTGCCCGGTGCACACCCTGCAGACAATATGTTCAGCCGATCTTGTAAATAACCAGGCAGGAAGTCCGGGTTCGACTCCTGGTTATTCTCGAGAAGGATTCTTTTTCTTTCTCTGTAGTAATTTCATACGGCCGCGCGCCTTCTACTCCACGTACTCTCAAAATTCAAAATTCAACCCAAGATCCTCTCCTCATGTCCCAGGGCGACCCCATTTCGTTCTTACGGACGAACTGTCCACGTGATGCCGCCAACCTCTCACCCCAAGCCTTAAAAGTCACCCCTTGTGCAGGGACTCAGGGCCAATAGATCGAACGTGGTGCGTGGCGCTCGCCTGCAGAAATAGAACCGCTCGAGTACCGCTCCGGCAGAAGATCCGGGTTCGACCCTGGCGTTTGAATTCATTTTCGGATGCGAACTTTCTTTTTTCCCTGTGTTCTGTTGTGCGAACTGGGGAATCTAATTTCTTTCTTGCGCCTTTTCTCGTATTGATTGATCTATATTTTCCAATCCACAGCCTGAGGGATGCGGCCGACAACCTGTCAAGTCCAAGGAGGACCCCACCTCGCGTGCCGATGAGTTTACTAAATATGTGCCTCAAAACCCACCACTTATGCAGGCATACATCAGAACCAGTAGCTCGAACGTGGTGCAAGGTGCACGCCCGCGGAGATTATCCTTTCCGAGAACCGGGTTCGACTCCCAGCGTTCGAATTAAAGGGCTATGTGAATCTGTACTTTTTCTTTCCCGTTGATAACGTACCTCAGCCTCAGATCCTCCACAGTTCCATCCTGTACCCTTCTTCTATGCACCCTCCATGAGGTCAGCCTTTCGAGGCACGCGCATCGAAAATCAGGAATTCAACTTTCAACCTAGGTCAACCCAGGTCAGGATCGGCTCACTGCCGCCCACACATAGCTGCATTTAACCAAGCAACGAATCAGACGTGGTGCGCGGTCCACACATGCGCCCAATCTATGAGTTTTCTCAACCAAATTAAAGGCAGGCAACAACTCGCTAGGTTCGACTCCCAGCATCCGAATGATAAAGAGATCACGGTTTTTTTCCTAGCCCACAACACTATCTGGGACGACTTCAACTGCGGTGAGTGTTCACTATCAACTGAGGGCCATCGAAGAATTTCTAACTTGTCGATTCGGTTGAATCGTAGGTGTCTTTTGCGCACACCAACTTGAGAGTATCATCTCAGGCTAACGAAGATATCACTACAGTGAAGAATCAGCGGCGCGCGTGCCGCGCGTGGTACATTCCGATTTCACTGTGCTGCAGCCGTTTCATCCGCGTTCGAAAATATATATTCCGGGTGTGATTGCCTCGTCGTTTTGTTCTTGACAGTTTCCAAGCCCTTCACTCACCTACCTAACAGAAAAACAGCACAGTGGAGAAAGTCGAACGTGGTGCACGGTGCACGCCTGCAGACATTACTGCGGTTGAGATTTCCGGTAGGAAGTCCGGGTTCGACTCCCGTCGTTCGAATAAATGGTACCACCACCTTTTTCCTTTGCTCTTTCAACCACGGTATACCCAGGCGCAGGTAGAGCCCTTTCCTCCATCCAACCCGCATGTTCTCATTTCTCATGCGCTTCACAGGAAAAATTAAAACTCTGGGTGCCAAGTCACTTGCCTGCGACATGCGCCTCACGCTGCGTTCCACTTCTCTCCCCAGCGCGCTGTATAGCCAGGCAGGCAATCGGACGTGGTGCGCGGTGCACACCTGCGCCCAGTTCCCCGGATTGAAAATGTGGAAGCAGGCAACAACTCTGGGTTCGATTCCCAGCGCCCAAATAAGGGTCTATCTATCATCGCATTTTTATTCTTGACGGTTTCCCAAGCCATTTACTCACCTCCCTAGCAGACCAGCACCACAGTGAATACATCGAACGTGGTGCACGGAGCACTCCTGCAGACAGTGCCCGTGCTCCAGGAACTGCTGCAGGAATTCCGGGTTCGACTCCCGGCGTTCGAATAAGTCGATGAAAGACCCTTTCATTTTTCTTTCTCTATGATACTGTATGAGCCTGTATGGGAGCAACGGCTCCGAGACCGTGACACACCCGTTGTCTTTTTTTCAGGCAACGCGACCTACCGTGAGCGTCACGGTTGCTCAAAGAAGCAACAAGAAATAAATTTGCGCAGCAACTGTGTAGGTATCATTTGGGTATTATGGAAGTTTGTGCACTTGACTGCTGTTGGGGCACTACACTCTTGGTTTCTCACTCATTCCAGGTGCTTTCGAGCACAGAGGGATTTTTTCAACTTTTTTCCTTGTGGCGTCACGACAAATTCAAGGCAACGAACCTCGTCCTGACCGTGACCCCGCCAAAAACAAGCAACGCAACATGGCTCCCGTTACCGTGACCGTTGCTCCTATACAGGCTTGTACAGTAATTTCATATGGGCGCTTAATTCAATGCTGCGCCTTCTTCTCTAGGTACCTCCGGCGTAGAGCTCAAAATCGTCTCCTCGTGTTCCAGGTCATCCCAGTTCTAAATCAGCGTCGCACACCACAATATCTGTTTAACACTTTCCATATATAACTAGCAGGGCAACACCAGAGAAAATCACTTGAACCGTGGTGGCCATGGCCGGCGCACTCCTGCCAAACTTGAAGGTTTCGGCCACGGGTCCGGGTTCGACTTAATTGAACCGTGTGAAAATCGGGTCCATCTCGGCCGAAATCACAGCCAGTCAATATGTCTTGTATGCCGGTGCCCGGCCTACGTAAAGGGGGGAGCTTCCTCCAATCTGAGTTATAACACGCAGAATCTATTCTACAAATCACTCCAAAATAAGTGTGGTTTCTGGGATCCTGATTACGGTTCTGAAATCAGATGTATCACTAGCAGAATAAGTAGTGTTGATACTGTACCGGATATGAAAAGTTTTTGACAGGCTGATTTGTTGCCGAAACGGGTCATTTCGGCATCCATTTCCACTGTGCCAAAACCTCTTGTATCAGACACAATTTCAGTGTTCCTGATACTGCTCTGGATACTATTAGTATCAGGAGCAGTACCGATCTGCCAGAAACAATTAGTATCGGGCGCAGTTTCGGGCGCCGCCCCGAAACTATTGTTTTCAGCTGGCCCGAAACCCGGGTATCCGGCCAGCCGATACTTATTGTTTCGGGACATCGCCTGAAATGGTGCCTAATACCTTTTGTTCCGTGCTGCCTGATACTGCTCCTGATACTAATAGTTTCAGAAGTAGTTTCCGGCATGCTAGAATGCCGCCTGAAACTGAAAGTTTCGGCACAACAAAAGCTGCTGCCGAAATGACCCGTTTCGGCAACAAAATCAGCCTGTCAAAAACTTTTCATATCCGGTACAGTATCAACACTACTTATTCTGCTAGTGATACATCTGATTTCAGAACCGTAATCAGGAGCCCAGGAACCACACTTTTTTTGGAGTGAATGCCCAGAGCCCAACATTCCCACGGTGCGACCATTGATATTCCCACGGCGCGACCATCAGAACAAGCATCAAACCAAATACTTCAAGTGTGGGAGAAAAAGGATCTGCCCGCTGGGAGGCCTATCAAATGGGGGTCGCAAGCTCCCCCCAATAAAGTGCGAAAAGTCTTCTTGGCGCTCAGGGTTGCCAGGTATTCGGGTGCTCCGAATCAGTTGCAAAGAGTCATTCAATATAATGTAATTCAGGGAATAATAGACAGTGTGCTTTTTCCCCTGAGCCCAATCGGCGGCCTGGAGCCTCCTGGTTGGGCGTTACCTTCGACAAGCACCAGATGAGCATCCGCATTCAGAATTTCAGCTGAACTAGGTCAAATGCTAATGTCTCGCAGTCAGACGCTTCAACAAATGACGCTCGTATCGCCCAACTTCAGGAAGAGTCAATGCAGTGGACAGTAGCAAACCCATGGTCGTTGAGCCCTGGAGAATTATCATGTCATCCACAAGGGCATGATCCAGGCAACCTGCCAGACATGCCAAGCCTCCTCGGTGACAGGTTTACGGGTGCATTCGGGTGCATTCAGTTGAAGTCCATTGAGTTGAGAAATCAGGGTCGAGATACTTATTTATGTCTAGAAATCCTACTGGCCAGCGGTCGCCGTCGGTGTACATTCAAAACACCTAGTTATATTGAACCCACGACACTGGGATACCCACTGTTGTAATGCCGACGGCTCTTAGGTCAGGGAAATGGATAACTCCTGAATGATTTGAATTGTTTGTGGAAAGGGCGACGTCCCATAAATAAAATGTAGCGGGGATTTGCGGTGCGACCACCTCTTGCCGTTTACCCACTGTTCACAATGTCCCTCAAGCTCATGCTGGCGGCAAACATGACCGTAGTGGTACTGGAAACCTTGTTCTATGGACTCCTGCTCGTTTCCGCTTCCACCACCTTATACCTCCGTTTTTCAAGGCACGAGGTCCCCAAACTGTTGGTCTGGAATCCCGTCGTGCTTTTCACAGTCCTCATATTGGCGACATCTGGCGCGGTAGGCATCCCCCCCCACCACAGTATGCCGCAATTTTACGACGACATTGAATAGCATTGGATCTTGACCATCGTTCGCTTTTTCCGCGCGCTCCTGGGGTTGGCTGACCCCAGCCGGTTCTATTTGGACACCCTGCAGGCGACACAAACCGCAAGGAACCTCTTGTGTGTAATAGCCATTTCCATAGGAGATGCGGCGATCGTAAGTATTCCATCGTTCGTGTACAACTTGAACGCACATGCCGAGTTAAAGATTCACCGGTTGTGGCTCATCTGGAATCGAAGTCTTCCTGTGATAATTGTTCCCGTTCTCACCTGCTTGGGTCTTCTGGGTGATTTAAGCCTCGTTCAACGCAAACAACATACTGACTCTCCACACAGCTGACGGATGTGCAGTCACATATTTATACGCTCAACAGACGGCCGCGGCGCAAGTGTCAGTCCAACGCTTGGTGAAGGCGAGCTGGATGTTGACTCTGGTGTAAGCCATGCTGTTTCGTCAAGGGCTTAGGATTCAACGATCTGACTCCCCGTTAGAACCAATGTTTCTTGCACAGGTACGCCGAAGGAGAATATTGCAGTCGGCTGTAAGGTTTGACTCATCCACTTAGGGCTCATAATATGGAAAATTTGGAGGACAAAACGGACGGTGGAGCACCTAGGCGAAGGCACTCTCGTGGTACGCACACCTTTCCTCAATGTTCGGCCGGCTCACACAGCCCGCAGCCGGTGCTTATCATTCTTCTGGAAAGTGCCGCCGCATGGACGTATGTTCGCTCCCGTTGAGCATGCAGTAATCTTCCGTCTCACTCATACGTCACCGGCAGAATCTGGGGGATTTTATTTGCAGCCACAACTTCATCTGGGTCTCCATTTCAGATCATTCTGACAGACCTTTCACCGCCAGTGGTTGGACTTGTCAACATGGTCATATACCTCCGCGTGGAACTTCAATGCACCCGTCCGCCGGGGACAGATCGTCCTAGGGTTGCGATGACAAGCAGCGCCTCCATCATTCCTTACTTGGTGAACAGAGTATCCACACAAATATCTCGTGGTGCAGCCTATTAGAGGGGGTTCACGGTCGCTTCCAAAATACATCAGCCTGAAATGTACAACCACTACGCCGCAACCGGTTCTGCTGTTTGAATTTCATCTCTGCGATCGTGATTAAAGTACAGCGCCATCTTGACTGGTTATGAATAGTGTGCCGTTCTCACTGCTAGCCATGCGTCGGGCCTCCAACCACTTTTCCACTACAACCAAGTCCTTACAATCGAGTTCTAACTTCTTTCACCCTTTCCTCTGTAGAAATTTGTAGGTTGGTTCAAACGGGGGTACAGTAGAATTCGATAATTTATTCAAGATAATAGCAGGCCTTTTATACAAGTAGGAACAATGGGATAAACAAGGTGCGTACAACAATGAGCTTCAATAAACAAATGACATCAGACCAGCTGAAACCATAAGTACGCGTTTCACGGACGCGTGTCCGCGGACATGTCGGCTTGATATTCCAACATTCCCCCTCAAGCCGAGCTCTTCACCAAGCTGCATCAAAACTTGTGATGGCAGCACCCTCCTTCTTGTCTGGACAGTTGGACTGGTAATGTCCCTTCTTTTCGCAGTTGAAACAAGTGATGTCGGTAACTGGTCGTCTCGGTCGATTGTATTGAATTGAGGCACGGAATGCGCCGTCGCGTGAACCAGTCGGCGATTTACGTGATTCTTCATTCAGGAGCCGTCCGATAACGTAGTCCAGTGTGAGTGAAGCAGACTCGGTAGAATCGAGGGCCACAACAAATATGGCATAGGTGTCGGGGAGACCCATCGTAAGTACGAGTATAATGTCTTCATCGTCAACGGTGATTTCGGCCTGCTTCAAACGGAACGCAACACTTCGGACATCTCCAATCCAGGAGGCCATCTTCTGACTTTCATCCATCCTCATTGACATGAATTTTCGACGCAGCGCCATTTTCGTTGCAAAACCGCGAGAACGATGTACACGCTCTAGTTCCTTCCAAATCTCGTGCGCGTTCGCAGCTGTCATATGCGCCAGCTGATCGAAGTCAACCGCCAAAATCATCTCGGCACGAGCTTCGGCATTCTGCCGATCCCAATCCCGCACAGCCTTCGAATTCGGTCCAGTAATCGGGCGTGGCGTAGTCCCAACGGCAACATCGCGAACATTCTTCCGAACGAACACGGCTTCCATCAAAATCCTCCAAATTTCGTAGTTTTCGTTCGTAAGTTTCGTCATTCCTTTCGCTTCGGGCATCGTCAATTGCGGGGTGTTCGGCTATATGGGTTCGAGGTTCGGGGTTCGGGGTTCGGGGTTCGGGGTTCGGGCCGCTTTCGGATAGGCGGACTTTGTACAAGAAGAGAGCGAAACAGGCAGAGGTTTAGCGCAGGGGCCAATAACCTGTAGAAATTTGTAGGTTGGTTCAAACGGGGGTACAGTAGAATTCGATAATTTATTCAAGATAATAGCAGGCCTTTT